TTATACTCCAATAAATTGTCCTTGAGATGCAGTTCTAAATCCATCCTTAATTTTGCTCAGACAAATTAATAGACTAATTAATGTAACCCACGGTAATACTTGCCAGTGGCCACGCCCTCTCCTCCAGCAGCCATTAACTGCCAATCCTCAGTTAGGGATGGGTTTTATGAGCCCCTCCCTCGTCTCTTTTCTTTCTGGTCATTTAGTTCAGACTTCTCCCCCTCTATTTTTCCCTGTTGACTCTTTTAGAAGCAGCTTTCCTTGCACAGATGAAAGAAAGCTCAGGGTCGGGCGTTGGTGGCACACTCCTTTAGTCCCAGCACTCGGGAGGCAGAGGCAGGAGGATCTCTGTGAGTTCGATGCCAGCCTGGTCTACAAGAGCTAGTTCCAGGACAGGCTCCAAAGCTACACAGAGAAACCCTGTCTCAAAAAACGAAAGAAAGAAAGAAAGAAAGAAAGAAAGAAAGAAAGAAAGAAAGAAAGAAAGAAGCATCTACAATGGTAAACATTTCATAAGCTCAGTTAAATCCACACAGTCTTGAGAAAATAATGGTAAAAAGTTTTTACGTCAGACTTAATCTGGAACATTCTGTAAGTACTCAGACTTCTCTTGGAAGATTAAAAAGCAGAAGAGAAACATCCTGAGCTCTCCTGGAGCATGGAAACGGCCTCTAATTGCCGACATTGGTTACACATTTGCCATTGTTCTAGAACATTCCCATAATATCTGCAGGCGCCCCCCCACCCCCACTCGACCCTACTCTGTTTCACTTGTGCGTGACTTGATCAGCCGAGCCCACAGCTCCCCTGGCTTTTCATGCTTTACCAGAGTAGATAAAAAGTTCAAGCTGGGATTTTCAAAATTGATCTTTGAAGGCAAAACCTGTTCTAATTAAAACTGATGCTATGTAACAAATGGTGAGGGGGGAGGGGAATGACCCTTTCAATGTCTGCCACAGAGTTCATTCAAGGGGCAGCAAGAGGGAGATGTGACCTCCACACATAACGCAGGCGTGTGACTTTGTCACGTTTGCATTTTCAGGTGTGTGCTTTATTGTAGGAATATATATTTTTTTAAATTTTTATTGATGCGTGCATGGTCTGTGTACCACGTGCAGGCAGTACCTGTGGAGGCCACAGGAGGGCGTCAGATGCCCCAGAACTGGGGTTACAGATGGTTTTGAGCCACATGGGTGCTGGAAACCCAGCCCAGGTCCTCTGGAAGAGTAGCCAGTGCTCTTAACTGTTGAGCCATCTCTCCAGCCCCCCGGGGAGAAATGTTTGGATTTCCAGGACAGCCAGGGCTACACACAGAGAAACCCTGTCGGAGGAGGAGAAGGAGGAGGAGGAGGAGGAGGAGGCCAGATACTTTTATAATAAACTGGCATCAACCAGGCCTGATGATACAGGTCTATAAAACAGAAAGGTCACAAGTTCAGAGCCAACCTGAGCTACACTGAACACACTGAAACCTAGCTTGAAAATGAAACATAAAAAGGGGCTAGTTAAATGCCTCAGTGGTGGAGCCCCTGCCTAGAATCCCCCAGTGAAGGGCTGGGGTGTGGCTCAATGGTAGAGCCCCTGCCTAGAATCCCCCGTGAGGGGCTGGGGGTGTGGCTCAGCAAGTGGGGTAACTACCTAGTATGCATGAGGTCCTAGATTCAATCCCTAGTACCAAAACATCAGTAACTAAATAAACTAATACTCTCTATCATTCAACATCATTTATTTCCTATTCTAGAAGCCATAAGGTCATTGGGGACATGGATGACAGGCCACAACAAACAAAAACAATAGCTTCTCTCTCTCTCTCTCTCTCTCTTTTTTTTTTTTTTTAAAGATTTATTTTCTTATCAGGTATACAGTGTGTGCCAGAAGAGGACACCAGATCACACCACAGATGGTTGTGAGCCACAATGTGGTTGCTGGGAATTGAACCCAGGACCTCTGGGAGAGCAGTCAGTGCTCTTAATGGATGAGCCATCTCTCCAGCCCCTAGCTTCTTCTCTTAGGGGAAATTAGCAATGGTCATGTGAGGGGTCTCTTACTGCTCATCAGGAAGAGCGTCCTCCAAAAAGACAGACCACACGAGATGTCATTTGCACAACTTTATTTTCCACTCACAACACATTTACATTCATTGATGGTTGCATCAAGGCGCTACTTTAGCGAAGGTGTCTCAAGGATTATCACAAGAAATGGGCCTGGTTGGTGGTTGGTTGACTGACTCACTGACAAATGTCTAACAACGGATCTCAGTTTCTGGGTCAAGAACACTGAAGCAGGAAGAGAGCGTGAAAACTCACAAGGGCTGGAAGGAAATCCAGCTGTGTACCAGGGCAGCCCAGATTAGCCAGGGACTCTGCTGTCAATCACAGCTGAACAGGAAAGCGAAACACACAGATGAAGACTCACTTTGGACACTGTGTTACAGGACATGCAGGGGACCAAATCCCTCTCTCTTCCTTCCTACCTTTCTCCTCAAAGTTCACATCTAGAAGAAACTTAGGGAGTGGGGGCAGCCCACGAGGCCTCAGTTAGGAAACTGAGCAAGGATCTGAATTTGATCCCCAGAACCTATGCAGAGAGAGAGAGAGAGAGAGAGAGAGAGAGAGAGAGAGAGAGAGAAAGAAAGAGAGACAGAGAGAGACAGGGAGGGAAGGACAGAGAGAGAGGGCAACATTGTAGCACAGGCCTGTAGCCCCAGGGCTGGGGAGACAGACAGGAAGATCCCTGGGGTCCATTGGCCCCCCCCCCCCTAGCCAGTTTCAGGCCAGTAAGAAGACCGCCTCTCATAAAAAGACGGATGGCGGCTGAGGAGTAACACGGAAGGCAATCTTCTGTCTCCACATACACACTTGTGTACATATGCACAGATGAACACAAACACACACAAATTACAATTATATACAAAGTACAGTGCCAATGACTAGTTACAGTTATCCTATACACACACAAGGGAATATTCCAGTATTTTTGGATTACAACACAGTTTGAGTTGTCATTTTTCAACACTTAAAAAAAAAGTTCCTATTTACATATTTATTCTGAGACAGGAGCTTACTCTGTAGCCCAAGCTGGCCTTGAACTAACAGCAATTCTCCTGCCTCAGCCTCCACACACTGGAATTACAGCCACGTGTCACTATGCCTACTTTATTTCGAATGTCAAACTTTTTATTATATTTATTTACTGGCATGCTCATGCCACGAAATGATTGTGGAGGTGAGAGGGGAATTCTCGGGAGTTGCTTTTCTCTTCCATCATGTGGATGCTGGGGATCGAACCCAGAGACTCAGGCTTGGTGGCAAGCCTCTTTTCTCACTGAGCCTTATATCCAGCCTCTCACAACTTTAAACATAAAAAAAAAAAACCAGTCCTCAGGATGTAGCTTAGAAACCACTGATGGTGGCAATGCCATCCTCTCTCCTTCACACGCAGCATGGTCAGATTTAATGGCACTAAATTCAGAGGGCAGAAAACAGGCTATTTTAAAGAAACTTTGGAAAAGAGAGAGGTTTTCCATGTCTTACTATTATGTGAGCAACTGACTAAAGCCTCAAAGATAGGGGGTCTCGTAGAGGTCAACAGAATTAGAGCTAAAAACTGATTTTTTTTCCCTACCAACCTCTCCTCTCCCCCACAGGCTTCCTTGAGAGGACATTAACCCATTTGGGAACTAAAGTGCCATTTTTATTCCATTTTGCTTTTTATTGGTTCTGAAGATGGAACCCAGAGCCTTGCAATATGCTAGCAGGGGCTCTACCACTGAGCCACACCCCCAGCCCCTCACTGGGGGATTCCCCAGCCCAGAAGCTTACCGTTTCAGATAGGCTGACTGGCCAGCAAGTTGTTGGGATCTACTTGTCTCCAACACCCGATGCTGGTGTTATGGGCCAAGGCAGCCATGCCTGACCATTTTACAAGCCTCCTAAGGACTAGAACTCAGGTCCTTGTGTTTGTACTGCAAGCCCTCTTACCCACTGAGCCATCTCCCCTGCCCTCGGTTTTCTTTAAAGACTCTGAAATCTGAAAAATTCAAAGACAAGCAGATATTTGTTTTGTTTTGTTTCCCCAGAGCTAACTCTTGGGATCTAACCAACTTCCGGTTAGGTTGCTAGAGTATCGAACTTGAAGACTGCACACACGATGCAGGCTTTGAAGAGAAAGGCCTGACTTACCAAATGCTGACAACACAAGGGACTAAATGGTCACCCTGTCCTTCTGGACCTCAGGCTCTGAGGGCGGGCTGGGCCTCCAGAAGAAAAAGCAGGAAGTAGAGGGGAATGGACGCACAATGTGGGTAAGCGAAACCATGAGGCCCCTCTGGGCAAAGCGGAAAGAATGTTCTGGAATTCTCCGAAGCTACTCATCACCTCCTCTGCCTTTGAGGGTGAGCAGAGGTGAGAAGAAGCGCCAACTGAGGGAAAAGACACAAAGAGAGTACCTGCCCCCACAACCCTCCCCTCCTGAGGCCTTGCATCCATTACCTGTGTGGGTCGCACACATGGAACAGGCCCCCAGATAGTCCAAAGTCAACCACAAAAGAAAAAGTTTGCTCCCGACTTGAAACATCTTCCTTGATACTCCTCCATCTCCTCGGTCGGGTACAGGGTTCCCCAAATCATAGATTTCTGGGATCTGTAGATAAATCAGAACATCCCAAGAAGGGAAGTCGGGTCAGGATTCATTAGATATTTACTGCCTGGGAACCTCCCAAGTCCGTGACCATGGCCAGGCCCTAGAAACATCAGCACCCTAGAGTCCTGCACCCTAACATACAACAGAATCTCAAATCATACGTTTTTATGCAGTCCAGGCCGATCTCAGAGTCTCAACCCTCTGCTTCAGCCTCCCAAGGGCTGGGATTACAAGTATATGCCATGGCTAAATGCCCCAAAACCACTACACTGCTTTGGAGGGAAATGGGTGACACAGTCACGGATTAGCAGTGACCCCAGTGATGTCTAGCAAGGGCTCTAGGAGTGAGGCCCAGGCTCTCACTCACTAACCATCACCTGGGAGCGTGTGAATACGTCCCCTAATGCACTGGGGTCCTGTGAGCCCCTCGGCTCTCCCCCCTGCATCCCCACTTTAACCAAGTCATTCTCTATCCACTCACTGTTGGAGACACCAGGGAAGCCTCCCGGCTTGGTCTTCCGAGCCCTGGATGTTGAAGCCGTTGCATCTGCAGGCTGGGTCCCCCCAGGAGCCCTCTGAGCCGACATGGCCCTTCTAGAAGTAGGCCCTTTCTTGGGAATCACAGGTTTGTTCTTGGTGGCTTCCGAATCAACCAGAACATAAGAGAGAGAGCCCATGCTCATCTTTCTCTTCTTCCTCATGGGGGCAGGGATCCTGTTTGAGGCCCAGGTCATGGCTTTCTTCTTTGGAGGGCTCTCAGGACCACCATCTGAGTCCTCCAGACTCCCAGGACTCTCTGCTGTGGGCAGTGTACTCTGAGAGAGCTCGTTGGGATCCTTCCAGACTCGTTTCTTCTTCCAAAATGTCTCCTCTTGCTTCACGAAGGGTTTTTTGTTGCTCTTAACAGAGTCTGGGGTCTCTGAGCCTTGGGCAGCCGCAGGTTCGGCGCTTTCCAAATATGCCTTGTTGTTGTAGTTGTTGCCTTGGGGTTTTCTCCAGTATATTGGTTCTTGCTTAGGATTCTTTTTCTGCTTCCTTCTCCTGGAGCGAATTTTACCTCCAGCCCTGCGAACTAGAGGTTTTGGAGGGTCACCGCGGTCCCCTGCATTCCTCCAATAGTTTTGGTCCTCCGTCTTGAAAGCCGAGCCCACCTCTACGCCCAGCCCCGGTTCCTTCTTCACTTTCCTCATCGCTGTCGAAGCCCAAGTTGCCATCAGCTCAGCCTCCTCAGCCCTCGTTTCTTCCTCCCGATTGCGGATTTCAGCATCCATGTAGAAGATAACCTGTACCACCGCGCCCAGAAGCAGTCCCATGGCTTCTGCCCAGTTCGGTGGAGGCTGGGGTGGGGTCGGGGA